AAGATTCCAAACTGTCATCTTATTCCTTTTAGAGTGTGGACCTTGTGGTGCTCCTGAACATTAGGAAGTTTATCAAAATGGTATTTCGAATGTCCTGAAGAATGTCATTTAATTAAAAAAAAAAAAAGATTTCTATTCACTTAAAATTATATCCATCAGAGTACACTAGGGTTTGTATACGGATCAGAAGCGTGACAGTCCTTGAAGGAAGCCTTGTATTTCTGCACAAAGTGGGCCATTGGCAACTGTCTGTTAAATTGTTGAACTTATTGACATATATCATGAAAAAAAAATGACATTTCTTAACCAGTGTATTGGTATTTATTTTGAAATCCAAGGAGCTAAGGAATGAATCAAGGTGAATTATTCTGTCCTTGCATATAGCCTAAAAATTCTTCATGCCAAGAATGGTACCCCACAGGAAGAGGTTCCATGAGCAGCACCACCATTCAGCAAGACTTTCAAGGCTGAAACTTATCTGTGCATCCCTTTAAACTTCCTGTTGGACACCTCCCTGCCTACGTCCACTCAGGCAACAACACATGTTTATTGAGCACTTACCATGTGCTGGGTACTGTCCTACGTGCTTGGGATACATTTCTGAAAACAAACAAACCGAAATTCTACCTAATCTCTCTATTCAAGACCTTTTTCTTAAGAGTACCCACCCTGTGCCTGAAACTATGCTCAGTGCCAGAAACTTAGTGTGGGCATCTGTCCAACAGGAAAGCTGTTTGCAAATATGAAAAAATTAGAAAGTGGAAATTGTCCAGGTACCATTTATCTTACCTTGTAATGAATTAAAGATGGAGAAGAGGTACAGGAAAGGGACATATAAGGGTCCCCAGGCAAAGAAAGCAAATCCCCACGTCATGCCCAGCAGGAACGTCAGGCTGACCACGCTGCGTAGGTTCCTCAACACCTCCTCCCGCAGGGTCCGATTGCTCCTCTGGCCGTTCCTCCCACAGATCTGCACCATCACCACGATGAACATGGCAACGTTCAGGAAAAACATGACTCCAAAATACCCAGCACAGGTCACATAAAAAACAACTGGATCCTGAATCCAACAGCTTAAAGAAGAAGAAGAAACAAGGAAAAAAGAAATTTATTACCACGTCCTGTTTACCTGGCTCAGTTTGACTTCTGCAGCTTTCGCAGCTTGGCTTTTCTCAAATACTTTCAGAGAGTCACTTCATTTTCTTGAGCCTCAGTTTCTTTTTTGATGTTTTTCATGTTTTTTTTTTTATGTTTGTTTATTTTGGATAGCTACCATCTTAATATCTAGTTACTTAAGTCAACAGTTAAGAAGAAAACAAGGTGGCTACTTGAATTTTGACTTGGCATGAAAATCCTCCTGGTTGGTTCACCTGAAACCATGTCTCATCTCCTTTTCTGTTATGTGCTCCAGAGAACGGGAAATTTAAGTACTCATATTCTCAATTTCTTTTGTATGGAAGGGGTGATCACGAGGCCAGCGTTTGACAAAATGATATCAAAGCAAAGTCTGCTAAGGAATCTGGGGGAGAGCTATTTCTGATAGACTCATCTAGCATTTGTTATTTCTACTTCGAGCATGAAAGCTAGCTCTGGGGCTGAAGAAATCATCTTATATCCAATGAGATAAAGGCCAGTAGGGCTGCAGAGTGGCTGGCACTGACATTTTCAGCCATAAAATCAATGCCAGTTGTTGGCTACTTCCACGTTTCTTGTCATGTGAGAAGAGCCAATTCCTATTTATTTAAGACATGCATAATTGTGAGAAGAGCAAATTCCTATTTATTTAAGACATGCAGACGAAATCATTTTTATTAATGTAATTGGTCTAGTTGAGGCAAAACCTTATTATAAAACTGCGATATTCTTATAATGACACTTCTCATGCACAATTCAAAGGCTTACATTGATTACAATATTCTTATGAGATGAGGTAGGATATATTTTATATTCAAATGATATAAAGATCAGAAGACAGATGAAAGTAATTTAAAAACTAATATGTGTAAAGTATTCCATGAGTAAAGTTAACAAATACTACAATTTGCAGTCTTAATAATACTATGGAAATTCCCAGGTACCTTGAAAATTAAATGAATTATCGAAGGCAATTAAATTCGTCTCAAAATTTTAGTGTAAATGGCCATCATTTCGGGTTATGTTCCACACTGGAACATGACAGCCACAAAGCGAAAGTTACCTTGAATGTCTTTGAATCCTGGAACCTAACATGATTCCTGGCATATAGTACATGCTCAGTAAATGACGGTTGTTGATGGCATAGCAATTTATTAAATGTACTTTAAAGTTCTATAAGAGCTGACTAACATACTTTTAAAATCTCCTTATTTAGAACTTATGCACTAACTTTTACTTTTAATATATCTTATTACAAAGATTTCCCCAAATGACACTGCTTATCCTGGAAGCTAATATTTCTTTACATACGGACATCCCCTTAGGATCCTGAAATTCCTGACCTGGATCCTTTATTTTCCACTGTTTTTTTGTGGGGTCTTTTGAATGCTACTTTGGAAACATAAAAGAAGGGAAGGCCATGAGAGAATGGGACGGGATTGGATAAAAAAAGTGTTGCCCATTCATGAAATGTAAGCAGAAATGTGGCATTACAGTCAGGTGCAAGCTCTTCAGTCATTCAGTAATTCAATCAATCAATAAATATTCATCGAGTACTCAGTATGTGCTAACTAAAATATGAGAAAACTAACCGCCCAAAGTGAACAATATAAAAATCTTAGCCTCGATGATCTCACATTCTGGAGGGAATCTTCCAAATTATTCAAGACTCACTGATGTCTCCATTCTCTGCATTTCCACATAAAACTCATATTGCCAATGAACCATTCGGTGTCTGATATTGCTATTTAACTCTCTTAAATATGTGTGTGAATTTAAGAAGGTGTAAGGATTATGGAATATCCTCAAACAGAATGGGTTTTCTGGCCTAGAAGACAGTATCTTAGATTTCTTCTTTCCCCAGATGACAGAATACAACATGAACAGGGACAAGCAGCTTGAACAGTTAAGGACATTCAGCTGAATTAATCTGCAGTGTAGAAAAGATCTTGGTAAAGACCTGCAAACTCATTTCAAAATGCTAAAGTAAGAAGCACACTATTGGCATGGAAACCCATACTAAACATGAGAAAACAAAGAATATACACTCATCGCAAATAAATTCCCAACAAGTTTTTATTACTTACAATTCATTGCCTTGCTCTTTTCCATAGACCTCCTTTTGGTTTCTGCTTGCTAGAACGACTGACACAACCAAGGCAGGCAAACCTGTTATTAAAAAACCATGACAAAAACAACTTTTTTCTGAAGCATCTGGAACTGCTTTATAAGACTGATAACAGCAAGGAAAAAGAAAAAAAAACCAAAAAACAAAAAAACCACTCCATATCACAGAGTCAAATTTCTTAGAACTGGCAACTTGGTTAAAAACAATAAAATCCCCTCTTTTGTGTGGCACATCCAGCTCTTATTGGAAACGATTAAAACCTACTCTTTAATGGCAGCTATTTAAATATTCTGTTTGTTTACTGGTACCTACTAGAGAACCAGAACCTGATTTATACTGAATCCAGAACCAGCAAATGTGCTTTCATTAACGATGCCTGTTAGACAGTAAGAGAACTGCAGCTTATTTTACCTCTTTCTATAAAAGAAAAGTCTTTAGAAAAAGTAGGGGAGAAACAATGGTACTATAAAGTCTTTATAGTCTTCATTTCTCTCTCAAGACTAAATAAATAAAGTAATTCCATGCATATTTTGGTGAGGAAGCTATACCACCTTAGCCTTGAAAGATGCCTCCTAAAATGGTGATCATGGAAATGTCTCATACTTCTATACTCCTATTTGAAAAAGAGATTGTGAAAAAGCTCTAAAATGTCTTGTGCGCTATGAAACCCAGATAAAGAAACGAGCCCATTTAGAATATTCCAAACAAGCTAATACAACCCTCCATGTCTGGCTGAGGAATCACGTTAAGAAGTTCAAGGCAAGAATGCTGACAGTGTTTTGGGTGCACACACAAAAATAACATTCTCTCTCTGGTTTCCAGGACATGGGCATGTGTCTGGGAGTGAGCGTGGCTAGGACTTTGAGCTGGCCTTTACATTTTGAAACATAATAGAAATGCAGCACTGTCTGCCAGCTGCTTCTTCAGGCCTGGATGGGCTGGCTCTGGGCATAGGAAATTAGTTTGTGGTGACTCTGGACCTAGGGCTTTTTCCTTTACTCCTGAATTTAGTGAGGACTCTTGAACAGTTTTTAAAAGTCCTGTTTGAGGAAGACCCATAAGATACGTATATCAAATCTACATCATTTGCAAATTTGAAGTTTCTTTCAGCAGTGCTATTCTTTTGAAATACCATTTTCCTATGAGCACCTGGCAATTCCCATGACAGTGCAAATAAAGACAAAACCTTTTAGGAGGCTTACCCCAGCCAATGATGCAGAATTTCAGTATGTATCGGCGGATGTAAGTGTTAAATACTTTAACCAGAGCAATGTACATGTGAATTGCTTCTAGCCCCATCCAGGTAAAGGTCGCAAGAAGGAAGAAATGCAGCAGAACTGCGATGGCTGTGCAGAGCCCATCCACATGAAACGAGGTGACCCAGCCATCCAAGAGGAAGGTGAGATTCAGGAACAGCAGGGCTGTACTCAGGTTCATCAAGATTTTGGAAGGATAATCCCTTCGCAATTTTCTAAAAAAAATAAATAAATAAAAACCGGAAAGATATATGAGAACTAATATTGTAAACAAACCTTTAAAGCACAGGCAGTAAATTCATGTTTATACAGTCCGTAGCAGGTTAGGGGGCACTATCTTTATAACATGGTTCCACTAGGAGGAGGGCTAAAGATATTTATGAGTATTTTGCAAATAAAGATTTTTAAAAATATTAATTATATTTCCAAACAGTCTCCAATTGTTTATAAAATTTCCAATTGGTTTCAACAGCCTGACTTCTTTTAATCCAGAAAAATTCTACAGTTATAAAAATGATATTTTTGTTAAAAAATGATTTCCCTAAAATTATTCAAAGTTTATATTTAATGAGGTAAAAATCTTTTTTTTTTTAAATTTCCTGTTTCAGGACTAATTTTATAAGATTATGAAACAAATGTTTTCATCCTTTACCATATAAAAAGCACTCAATATAGTTTTTATTGACCTACATGTTAGATTCAAATGCATTTTATCAGTAGAAATACAGTGATTATAAGTTAAGAATGCTATAGCTAGAAAATTCATATTACATGATATATCTTACAAGAAACCTGAACATTAAAACTGAACCAACCTACATGATTCACAAAGGTCATAAAAGTTGTTAGAAGCTGAGGCGATATTCTTATTTGTGTTTTAGAACAGTTAGCACTGGGTTTAGCAGATAGAAAATACTTACTCAAAAGCAACATATGTCAGGAGAGTAACTGCTGAAAAAATAGCAGATATTCCACACCCAATATAGGTGATGAAGGTGAGAACTTTAGTGTTTCTTGCATCTATGTGTGAGGATGTTCTTTGAAGATCCTACACAAAACATGGGAAGCAGCTGTAAGAATCTCTTTTCATGAGAATGCTGTTTGTTTTATTGGAAAGTCTATTGCTAGCACTTAGAATCTCAGCTCAATCATTGCTGCTAAAAACAAGTATAAAACAGTATTGAAATTTTATTTTTTATCTTCTTGTGGATCACGCCATGAAACAAAATGTAGTACTATTGAGGGAGTTACATATTGCTTTTTATTCTTTACCTGGTTACCCAAGCTCTTTGCACAGCAGTATAACTTGAAGAGTAAAACCACTGGATTCCCCAATAGAAACTGGAGAGAAGGTTGTTGCCTTACATATTTATCAAGCCCATTCCTAACATTTGCAGGGTTGGCGGCACAAGTACAAATGGAGGCCATGGTGGTCCTCCACATGGCCAAGCCCTCAGGTGGGCCCTGAGTTCTTTGGCCAGTAGGCAGGCGCTCAGCCAGCAGATGGCCAGAGGCTGGTGCTTGCACTGTGGTTGCTGGGTTCTGAGCATGGTGCTGAGGTTGCGAAGTGTTGTCATTCCAAAGCTTGGTATAAATGGGGTGGGGTGGACTTTATCTATTTTTAGAAGTTTTTTTAGAGGTTTGGGGTCATAGATTTTTGGTTCCTATAGATGTTAAAGGGCACCATTCAAAGTGTTAGGGGTGGTTGTGGAATGGAAAGAAGTAAACGCTTTCTAGAATATTAATAAGAGGCATTAACTTTACTATACTGAGGCAGATTTGCAAAGTCTGGGCCTGGTAGAAAAAAATTTTTTCTCCCTTAATTGAGGAATTGGGACAGGATAAATCATGAGTTAAAACCAACCACTCAATCCTGGTTGGAGGGGAAAGGCCCCTTCATTATGCAGATGTTCGTAATGGAGCCTTCCTGGAGAAGGGACATATTCCAACAAGAATATCTGGTTAAAACTTTTAGGTCTTAAATTATTTTTTAAAATGTCCATTTTGTAAGTTTTTCATTCTATTTTCATTAATAGTCACCAAAATGTCAATAAAATCTGGTACTCACATAAAAGCCTCCTACAGTAAGTGGTGTTTGTATGTGCATGTCTGTGTGTGAATGAAGAGATGGGACTTAGTTCCAGGTTTGGCTGATGCAGTTAGGAGCAGGGACGGTACCTCCATGACACCAAGAAACACACGGTGATAGAATTAGGCAGGTGCACGGGCTCAGGGTCAAGGGCAACTTTCCCTAACTTCTCCCTGGAATCCCTCAGAACACTGGGAAGACATGGGACTCTCATGGCACATGGGTTGGGGTTTGAGTCAATGCCACTTGACTCACAGATAAGTTACCTCAACCAACATTTTCGTTAGTCCAAGATTTCATTAGGCCTGAGAAATGGTCTTGCTGAAACTCCAAGTGATTTGTCATTACCGTTTAAAAACTGGCTCCAACTAGGTTAGGCAGTTGACTTGCAAGCCATAATTAAAGCCACGACTTAAAATGTGAATTAAATAAAATAATGCTGTTCACTGATACACATTTACACACAATTCTCATGTTGTTTTGTACTTTTAGAGAATGAAGGATATTAAAAAAATATATTAATTCCTCTGAGGTAGCCAACATGACAATGTACTAATGTTAAAAATACAAAAATCAGTCTTACTACAAAGAAATGTAGCAGGGATATTAAATTCTTCATACATTTGTGTATTAGAAGATACAATTATGGGTCTAAAGTACATTTTTTAGACTTCTCACATGGTGCATGTGTCACAGGGCAATGTAGATTCTGGGACTATCTCATACAAGTGAATATAAAGTTTGTAAATCAAGAAAGACTTAATAAAGTTTTAGTGGTCTGGAAAAGCTGAAAGGATATGGGCACATTGCCAGAAGATAAATTCTGGAAAAGTTTTCGTCCAGCTGTTTATAATCCCACAAAAGCAGCCAGCATGGAAAACGGAGAGATAGCACTAAAAATTTTTTTAAAAAAAGTGTATATGTCCAAATACATGTAAAACTAGTTATTTAATCAGATGGCAACAGAAAAAGTAATATATATTTACAAACTCATATACTTAAACAGTATATGAAGAAACTGACCATTCAAAGTAATGGGAAGCCAAACTTTTGTTACATATAAATCATTTCTGAATAGTGCATGTGTTACTCTTATCCATTTAACTGATAGTAGACTTACAACACACAGAATCATGCTCAAGCATACACATACACACTCAAACACGGCTAAAATAGTTAAATCCATTAAGCGAAAGGTTATATACCTGAGTGAATAATCATGCAAAATAAGTGTTTTCTGAAAAAGAGCATGAAAGAAAACTGAGAAATTTTTCTTTTAATCGCTTAGCGAAAACATGCCACAGTTTAATTGTTTCCATTCTCTAGCGGTAAAGAAAAAAATATTTATATTTTGAGAAAGCTAAAAAGCTACTTTCTATGACTGTCGTCTTTTTAAATGGCCTGTTCTTCTTCCGCAGAGCATTTATGTATTGGACTATCAGGAAAATTACAACTTTGTTGGGTCGCCATAGGACAATGGCCATTTACATAGGCCAAATAGATTCATGAGCCAAATACTACATTCCACAGTTTTCACTGCTTCCTCCCAGTCCCACAGGAAGTGGGTGTAAGATTTAAGAAAAGGGATAAACATAACCTGATGTCTCTGATTTGAATTCGAATAGTTTTATTGCCTGAGCACACATTACTCGCATTTCCCACTAAAAAAGCAAAATATGGTTTGATCCTTTTATGGAAACTATATAGAAACAATGGCTCTGCTATGATCTGAAGTGGGGCACTGGGCACCAGCAAAGTGTCTGCAAAAGCACAAGTGTATCAGGTATAAGGTAAAGCTATGAATCTCTGGGTGAATTCAAGTAAGTCATTGGATGTAGTGAAATGCTTAAAAATTTGGTGGGATGAAAAAAATATGTCAATGCAATCTAATTTTTGTTTAGAACCATGGAAAGGCTGGCTAATGAGATTAAAACAAGGCCATTGGAAAGAAGGAAGGAAAGAATGATATGAAGGCCTAATAGTGAAAGAAATGTCACACCCATCATCCCTCTTGCAGGCTTAAAGACTCCATGTGACCCTTGTCACTGGTCTGTCCTATCAGGCTGTGATCTCCAGAAGGAGGATAGCGGTTATTTTGGGTCACAGCTTGCTCACCTAGCACAGTGCCTGGTACAAAGTAACATTCAAATATATTGAGTGATAAAATATTACAAGAAAGAACATTTTTGATCAAACTTTTCACAGTTCCCTTCCATGTTAGTAAAACCCAACATTTTCTTCCTCTTTAACTTTTCTCTCTTACCCTCCCTCTCTCTGTCTCCCTGACTCTGTTTCTCTCTTAATTTAATGGTCTCCTGGTCAGTTTTTGGTTTCTAAGATTATTTATCATCACGGTTAATGCTATGGAAAAAAAGTAGAGTTCTTTTCTATAATTACTTTTGCACGTTTTTATATATAATCTCTGCTAATTATATTCTTCATTAAGAATCAAGATTCAGGGCACAGACGAAAATTATCTGGAAATAATTCCCCAAATACATAAGCTAAAAAAGGCTGACTCACACATAAAAGTATGCCTTCCAAAATTCTATCATTTCAAAATGAGTTTAGAAATCCTCCCCTACCATCAGAACTCCAAAGTGTGTGAGATGGTAGCACAGGCAGACCGTCTCGCTTGCGTCCGAATCTCTTTGTGCAACACATCCTGATGTGTTCCAAAATCCAGAACCTTCTGCGGGAGGAAGTCAACAAACAGTATGAAAATAACAGCAGGTCATTCCTTCTCTATAGTGGATGACATCTTCGTTAGAGAAATACGCCTCAATCTCTTCTGCCTTATAGTTTATCTGTAAAACTGCCAATAATTAGAATACTTTAGATCCCTGGAATCACAGAATGTTAGTGCTGGGTGGGCAGCTAGAGATTATCTAGTAGGTGATTTTCAGCTGTGATCCATTGAAGTGTCTCAGGGGTTCTGCAAAAGTTTGGTTCAAGTTTAATTTTTAATAAATTATAAAATAACCCCCCATAAAAAGAATATCTCTTTTTGAATGCATTATATACTAATGAAGTCTCTGGAGATCAACACATTTTTTCCCCTTGGGTGAGTATATTTTTGTGAAGACATGAGAACAAAGAAAGTCTCTCTTGGAATATGCTATTATGTGCACAGCAGTCACACATGGTGACAACTTATGATAAATGCCTTTAATATCCCTGTTCTGACTTTTATGGTATGGTGTGGAGCAACTCATATATTTAAAGCATATTTTAAGACTGAAAGGTAATATTTTAAACTATGTATCTAGTAAATCAGGAACGTCTCAAAACTATGTAACTGAAAACTGAACAACAACAACAAAAATCTTTCCAGCTGTGATAAAGAGTATCACAAAGAGGCTTGGATATCTTCAGACTACATTTCGACCAAGAAGCGTTATCCTGCACTGGCACTGATTTTATTTGTTGATGATTATCCTATTGGGGAATCAATCCCAAGGGAAGGTGACCCTTAGGAGAGGCTCTGAAGAGATTTTCGTACATTATACCTTGTGATCAACCTCTTAATTCTGCCTTTCTCTCTTGATTGTCAAATGTCATTTTAGAGGCAATTCATTTCTTTCAAGTAATATATATCCATTATAACCATCCTTGTATCTACAGTCCTTCAGTGTGCTTCATCCCATAATCTGAAATCTGCAAGCTGGATTTTTAATTATATGCTTAGTGAATATCAAATAATATCCTCCAAAGTGACCCAGAAGAACGAGATCAAATGTACACTGACATTAATCTAAAATGGCAATAAAAATGCATACTCTATTTAATAAATAACTGAAATCAAAGAGGTTGTTTGATTTTAAAAAAAAAGTCTGGCCTGCCTATTTCCTCTTGCAACAAATAAAAAGTTACAGCAACTTTTTTTTTTAGAATTTACTTCCTAAGCTCCTCAAACTAAAATTTGCAGCTCAGTTGCCATCATCTTTATATTGTGGCTCACTCTGGTCTAGGGTAGAATTAAGGGAAAACATTTAAAATTGCACAATGTTTAAAAATGTACAATGTTTAAAATTCCGTTGTTATTAAGACAGCCAATATTTTAAAACGTACCGTTATTGTTCAGATCCCAGAAGGCACAGATGGGATGAGGCACTGCCTATATTAACATAAGAATAAACATGTGAAATTGCATTTGGAATAAATAGAAAATCATATGATTTGAATAGGAGAAAAGAGTAATATGCTAAGGTTTTCAAAAAGAAGTAGGTCTGCATTAGTCATGCCAACATGACTGAAGAATGGCAGGCAGTCTAGGGAGGTCTCCTCTCACAAAGAGCTGGAGTGAAAACTAACTATAACCTCATGAGGAACTGTGTTACCCATTTATCTAAAGGTTATCATATATGTCCCATCGCAAAATGCTATAGCATTTAAGAAAGCTCTTTATACTATAATCCTACTTCATCTTTAAAATTCTCCTTTATGTCTAGGTATAAGCCCAAAAGAATTGAAAGAAAGGACTCAAATAGATATTTGCATATCCATGTTCACAGCAGCATTATTCACAATAGCCAAAAGGTAGAAGCAATCAAAGTGTCCATCGATGGATGGATGGACAAACAGAACGTGGGATATATGTATTATGCAATGGAATATTATCCAGCCTCAAGAAGAGGAGAAGTTCTGATACATGCTATAATATGGATGACTCTTGAAAATGTTATGTGAAGTGAAATGAGCCAGTCACGAAAGGACAAATACTGTATGATTCCACTTAAATGAAGTACCTAGAGTAGTTAAATTCAAAGAGACAGAGAGTAGAATGCCAGGGACTGGAGGAGGGGGAGATGGGGAGTCATCGTTCAATGGGAACACAGCTCCAGTTGAGGAATATGAAACTGTTCTGGAGATGGACGTGGTGATGGCTGCAGAACAATGTGTATTACTTGATGTGACTGAACCGGGCCCTTAAAAATAGTTAAAATAGTAAACTGTGTTATGTATATTTTATCACAATAAAAAAAAAATTATGTATGGATGAAGGACCTGAAACAAAGGAGTTCCAAGGGTAAAACATGGAGGTCAGAGGGTTCCGTGACAAAGCAGAGCTAGTTCTCAGATGACTTAACTTTCAAGCCTTAGTCCTTATCAAGCAGCTCACTTCCCGCCTGCCTTCCTGCCTGCCTAATAAACAGTGGAATCGTGACTGGGATCCTCTATAAAAAGGAGAAAAATCTGTGCCTGGGTCACCTGGAACAATACAAACCCCCGTATAATTTTTATCAAATAAACAAATGAGAGCAAGGGTAATTAAGCAATCAAAAATGAACATGTGCCAAGATCTCAGACAACTGCTAACCTCTCAAAAAATAAGTCGACCTGTTTGCCTTCTGCTTTCCCAGTAGCAATGATCTCCGATGTTAAAACAAAACAAAAAACTTTTCATGGCAGGATTATACAACTGCATCTGCACCTAATTTATCTCAAGTAATATATGTCATTTCTTAGAAATAGTGGCCTTTTTCTTCACTCCCATTCTCCTGATTATTGAATTCCGAATAAGACTAATTTTCTCTGGTTGTCACCATTTACCATGGCATTACAGTACTACCTGACGAGCTGTTGTCCTCTTTTGGGAAAACTGTCCCCCTTAGAAAAAGTGCCAGTTTCTTCTTTTCATGGGGAAAAAATGATCCCATGTTGCTCTGAAATACTCTGCCTCTGCTCCACTGCTATTTGTAGGATTTTCTTACCTGGTTTCTTGTATGTTTGATTTTAATTCGAACTGGATCCCTCAGATCTTGGATAGTTATGTTTCCAATACTGCAGGCCATCACATAACTCACTAAGGTGCCTTTCTTGGTTTCTGCATCCTTTGAAAACATGTGTATTAGTCAGAAGTACACACTTTTATTTTATTTTGCTGCTCCAAAATAAGCAAACTGTCAGCACTTTTTACACTTAAGATCTTCAATTATAGAACATCCTGTTTATAAGCTCAAATTGCTGGCTTTCCTGAAACAGCTTTTCTATTTCCCTTATTATAATAAATACATTGAGAGGACATTATGAGCCAATGCAGCAAGGCAATGTTCATAAAACTTCATTCTTGATTGCTGTGACTGATGCCAGCCAGTTAACATCTGAAACAATGCAAACCCATAAATAATATAAACTCATAAAAAGCTGTGAAACAATTAGATCACTTCCCTACTCTAGAAAATAGATGAAGTTGTTTTCCTTTAGAGAAGTATGAAGAAAATATGGTGTGAAAAATCAAAAATAATTCATCTTTCACATCTTGCCAACAGCCTGATGTGTTTACTAATTTAAACTAACTGTAACTCTACTGGATTAAAGCCCCATGCGGAACTTTTACCATCCCTGATTGTATACTTGCTGGCATCTGTAGCTTCCACTTCAGAGAGAGGGTTGTCAAGAAACCAAATTAGTGAATCTGTGTACAAAATGACTGGGACCAATGGACTGTCTCTCCAGTGAGACAGCCTTTCTTCTGGCCCTTGTGTTTCTTGTCAAACCTCCTGAATTTCTTTATTGCAGCTTATAAACTTAGTTGTTTCAGAATAATTGCAGGATTTTTAAATGCCAAACCAATCTCGGCATCTGGAATATAGCTTTTTATTACTTTGGTGTGGTCACTCTCAATAAAGTCAGTTATGGCTTGGGGATATTCAGTCTTTTCTTTAAAAAAAAAAAAAAACCAACTCATACTTTGTTCACTATGTGAGGGGAGAACCACAGAACCCTTAAATTTGTTTCTCCCTGCTATAAATTTACTTTAAAAACCAAACATATGTTTCCTAATAACAACATTGATTGGGAAATGCCAGAAGAGAAGGAAAAGATGGTGTGATGAAGATAAGACTCAAAATAAAACAATGACAAATTCTTGCAACTCTAAGAGTTGTTGCAAACCCCTCCCACTGGGCTCAATCTCTCCTTTAAATAGACCCTCTGCCCCACCATCTGTCTCTCCATTCACATTTTGTGACACCCATGGCATTTTTTGTATTGTTTTTAAAGGTGACAGGACTGTAAGCCTCAAATACTTTTGACAAATGCAGTTTTGTATGTCCATGGCTATTAAATCTTCAGAGTAATAACATGTAATTATATTCTTAATCTACTCAAAAATTTTATATAGCTCGCTCTTAATACATTTGTCGATGAAACTTTAAAGTTTTGGAATTAATTACTGTAAATGATTCCACAGTATTCCCTTTACCACCTGTGGCTGACTTTGCCATTCCTCCACACGTGGCATACAGGGCAGATCCATTAGAAACCCGTAGTCTATTTCCTTGAGACTTGCCACTTTCTCTTACATACATCTCATTGTTTAATATACACTGGTATCTTCAATTTAGTAGTTAACTTTTTTTTTTAAATGGCTGAATAAAACTGCTCTAGACTGGGTTGTACTTTCAAAGGCAACCAGAGGTCACCGGCGTTTGCTGGCAGTGGATTTCCTAGTATCTAGAAATGATGCCAATAAAAATGATAATATGTGCTGAGCACAATGCCACCCTACTCTGGGAATGTGTGAAGGCCAAAGGTCATTTGAAATACTAATGGGAAAACTGATTAAAGCCAAGAATGCTGCTCATTTTTTAAACAGTCTTTCCT